CTAGAGTGAGATGACTGACCTAGAGCCATATTCCCATGGGAACCAGGTATCTCGGTCCCCACGCCCAGACTCCAGCTGCGTTGCCGGCCGTCCCCCGAAGTCCAGGTGTGACCCATCACAGCTCCCACTCCTGAGCAGGAGCTGGGGAGGGGAGAAGGGGGAGAGCACACCACCATGGCTGGAGGGAGTGTTTCTGTTGCCTGGCCTGGGCTAACAACCCCTATCAGAGCTGGATGGGTGGATGCCCATCCCCTTGCCCTGTCCCTGTGCCTTGCTGGAGCAGTGGGACAAAGCTGAGCTGGTGGATGTGGCCTGGCAGCAGCTGGTGCCCATCCCTACATTCTGTCTTCAGCTTTTGTGTAGGCAGGAGAAGACCTTTTGTGGAAGCAAGGGGGCCAGCGAGGGCTAGTAGTCTCCTGCATCATTTCTGTAAACCTCACCCAATCAAGCTTTCATGAACACATGAGAGAAAACAAGGTATTTTTGATGTGACAAGCTGAAAGGTGTTAGTAAAGAAGCTTTTGCCTATTCCTCCCCCATTAGACAGGCTGTGAAATGGAGGTTTGAATGATAGGTGTTCGTTAGAAATTTTAGTTGGTTTTCCTCATTTTAACTCTCAGTGATAAGGACTCCATGGCCTGTGTCCTTAGCAGAGTATTATCTTTCCTCCAAGCCTTCCTCCCGTGGGTATTGGTTACTCTGCTTTTACAGAAGGTGCCCGGCAGTGATTTCCGTGCTGGTGGTGTTACAGCAGGGGGCTGGGATCACTCCTGCTCCCACAAACATCATCTGCCAGGACTGAAGCTTTCTGCTCAGTGCCCTCTTGCTCCTTGGGGAACCCGGTGCCATAGTTGTCTGTCCATCCACAGAGCTGAGATGGGATGAAAGCCTGTGCCTCTGGGTGTGAGATGGGATTTCTCATTGTTAAGACCAACAAAGACTCTTAGGAGATATATTTAGCTTTTATATTCCATAAAGACACAAAAATTGTAGATGAGCAATCTTTATTCTTTTGTCCCGTACCTTTAATAGTGATGGTGAGTTTAAAGCACAAGCAAGTTTCTGAATTGACTGTAGTTTTTAGCAACATTGCTAAACCCTGCAGTTTTACTGCAGAACACATACGTTTGCTATTTCTCATAACACTGCCGGGCCAGGAATGATGGGTTTACACCAGCATATCATGACTCTTGTGCCAGTATCAGAACACTGTTTGAAGCTGGAAACAGATTTTTGTTCCTAGGCTCCACATGGAGCTCGTCTTAAAATCTACTATCTCCGTGGCAGGAGATGCACATGCATTGTCAGTAAGGAGATGTGATTTGAAGGTCAGCTACAGGCTCCTGACAGTGATCTACAGTAATCAGTGCAGCCCTTTGCGCTGTGTCTTTGGGATCCTGAATCCTTAAGCACGCAGGAGGCTTGTGGTGTATGGGCAGGGGCTGCACAGAAAGGCTGGTGTGTTGGGGGGATGATGGTTAAAGGTCTTTTCCTCCTTTCTGAGTGATTTAGGAAACTGTGATTCCGTCGCTCCAGCGTTTAAAATGGAAAAGGTTTAATCTTGCCCCACCTCGTGGTGAGCAGAGTGTTCAGAAAGCGACACTTGGAGAGACGGCTGACGTAGCTTTCAAATGGCATGGGGAAAGGAGGTTCTGCTGCAGACCAAGAACCCAGGAGTTGTAACAGGGTTAAAAAATAAATAACTTGGGGCTTTACCAAGATTATAAGGTGCTACCCTTGGAAACAGCAAGCTGGTAGAGAAGTCATAGAATCATAGAACCGTCTAGGTTGGAAGGGACCTTTAAGATCATCTAGTCCAACCATCAGCCTAATTGATAAAAAAACAAACAAGCAAAAAACAAACAAACAAACAAACAAAAAACCAAAGAAACCCCACCACCACCAAAAAAAGAAAAAACCATACAACCCCCCCCCCCCCCCATCACTAAACCATGTCTCTAATCACTATGTCAGCTCTTCAGGGATGGTGCCTCTACCCCTTACCTGGGCAACCCATTCCAAGGCTTAATAACCCTTTCAGTGTAAAAATGCTTTCTAATATCCAATCTAATATCCCAAATTTTCTTAATATCCAAGTCTATTAAGTGTGCAGTTTCTGGTGCTGCATCTCGTGGATTCCAACCTGAGTTGTGACAAGTGTGAAAGCGTGTGCTGCATTTTCCTTCACATAGAATCATAGAGTCATAGAATTGTCCAGGCCGGAAGGGACCTCCAAAGGCCATCTAGTCCGACCTCCCTGCAGTCAGCAGGGACACCCCCAACTAGACCAGGTTGCCCCATCGAGCCTCTCCTTGAATATCTCCAGGGATGGGGCCTCAACCACCTCCCTGGGCAACCTGTTCCAGTGCTCCACCACCCTCACAGTGAAGAACCCTCTCCTCATCTCCAGTCTAAATCTGTTCCCCTCCAGCTTGAAGCCATTGCCCCTCGTCCTGTCACTGCAGGCCTTTCTAAACAGGTTCTCCCCAGCCTTCCTGTAGCCCCCTCAGGTACTGGAAGGCTGCTATTAGGTCTCCCCGGAGCCTCCTCTTCTCCAGGCTGAACAACCCCAGCTCTCTCAGCCTGTCCTCGTAGCAGAGGTGCTCCATCCCCCTGATCATCCTTGTGGCCCTCCTCTGGACCCTCTCCATCAGGTCCATGTCCTTCTTAGACGCCAACTCCTTGAGTTGTGAGTTCCCAGTGCATTGCTTGAGAGTGAAACCTTGTGGGTGTCAAAAAGGTGGAGGTGTTTCCATCCCCTCGGTCTGCACTGAGCCCGTGGAGCCACAGGCGTTAGTAAACCAGGTGGCTCAAGGCTGGCATGGACAGGCTGAGGCCAAAGGGGGAGCTGGAGGCAAAACATCTTCTCGTAACTGCTGGTGACACCCACGCTCCCCTGGTGACACCCACGCTCCCCGACACGGAGCAGGGGTGCAGAGTTCACCCTTGAGCTTTGTGTTGTGGCTGGTGCCAGACCCAGGACTTCAGGTGCCCTGGGACAATGCGACCACAGCGAGTAGGTCAGAGACTGGTGTGGGGAAGAGCTGAGCTGCTCTCCTTCAGTCAAAGTCTTGTAGGAGTTTCTAATGTGGGTTAACATGCATAATTCAATCCATCCTTTTTTTTCCATGTTCAGAGCTGTGTAACTAAATACCAATTTGCTAAACACAACCTGAATAATGAAGCGATCCATGGCCAAAAGCCTTCCTCAGTACATACAATCCCACTGAAAAAAAAAAAAAAAAAAGAAAGAAAATAGAGCTGTATCCTCTCTTCTGTTGTTTTAAAACAGTGAATATATTCACAAGGGGAAATATTCATCTTCATCCCTGTTTGCTCCACAGATTTACATACCTGTATGTCCCTGGCATGCCCAGCAAGTGCGAGGTGGTGTACGCCAAGTACTGCCAGTCCTTCACCCAAAGCTTTTTCTTTTCTCAATCACCAGATATTCCAGAGAGGAACAGATTTAAAACTGCACCGTGTGTTTTTTGCTCAGTTTAGACGTAACAGGTGAAAAAATATACCGAAGTGAAGCATGGTCACGTTTTGCATAGGAGGGTAGCTCTGTATCTGTTCTGTAGCATTTCTCAAATCCTTCCAGTAGCATAGATTATTTTGGTTTTCCTCAACAGCAGCTTTGCTCCCCGCCGTGAAACACAAGCATCTGGTAGCTTGTAAGAGGCTAAAAATATTCTTTAAGCTGATGAAGACGTGATATGGTCTTGAAAATCTGAAGTCTGTTTTTCCCCATGCTGTTGCTTTCTTTAGGGCACTTTGTGTCTCTGATGCCGCAGCATCCTGCAGGAGAGACCCGGTCCGTGGGAAGGCAGGCTGGAGACAGGGCTTCTCACTCTTTTCTTCTCATTTCTCTAGGGAAGACTCTTTTTGTTTGTTTGCTGAATAAACATCTCAACCTGGGAATTTGCTGGTGGCATTCACTGCCACGTGATCACCACCTTGTGCTAGTGCTTTTGTTGCTTGTGGGTCAAAAATGCAAGAAGAGGTTCCAGCAAGTAACATCTATTTTCCTGTAATTTTTTTATTGGAAGTGATCAGCTTTTCTAAGCCGCCTAAGCTATTTTGGTGGTTAATGGGGTATAGATTTTTACCTAGTTCCTTTTTTTTTCCCTCTTTTAATAAAGATTCATTTTATACTGGTTCCTTTTTTAGCTGATGACAAATATTTATTTGAATTATAGCAGTATATTGTTGTATATTATACATACATAATATGTATAATATACATATATATGTATATACTATATATACAATAGTACATATACTACACATATATAATATGTATAATATAGCAGTATATTGTAGCAGTGTATTACTGAATTATAGCATGGAAACTGTAAAATTTACCTTGAAGAGCTGCAAAACATCTGCTGGAGTCCTGCAAACCTAAATGTTTTGGTTTGGTTTTAGGGTCACCTCTTTGGGTATTGATTTTCCTGCTGCTGCTTTGGCCCAGAGAGTATAACCTTGCTTATCTACAGCATTTTTTTTGGTGTTTCTGGCCTGTAGAAAAGTGGGGTTTGTGGTGCACTAGATATTTTTGCCTTGCAGAACACAAGCCAGGCTTCCTATTCAATAACTGGGCGCAACACATTGCACCAGTCTGTAAGGGGGAGAGAAGGTGTGTGACACAGATAACACTAAACATTTGCTGTGTGTGATTTTAAGAGGCGTTTGGGGACTGGTTATGGACCAGAGCTGCATAGTAATAGAAAAATTTAACAAATATAGAGCGGGGAGGAGTCCTTCCCACAGCCACAAAATGGTGTTTATAATACAAGACTTACAGCTCTTGAGAAATCTGTAAGAAGCTCGGAGGGGACAGTGTTGTGCGTCCAGCGCTAGAGCTCAATTCAGCTAGTCTGCTCCATGCCAGAGTCCAGCTATTGTTTCTGCAATCATTTTGTCTTTAAACATGAATTGCAAACTATTGCTAAATGCTATCCTAATGACCGGGTTTGGGTTTTTCTCCTCCCCAGGAAGAAGAGTGCCAACACAGTTATGAAGTGACCAGTTTCCTATGTTTGCCACAACACCTGGATGCTCGTATCAGACAATTGAGACAGGGACTTGCCTATTGCCAAACTGCTTCCTTGGACAAGATGAAGCCAAGGAGGAGCTTTCTGATGCGCTGGAGTCGCAGTGACTGCTGCCCAATTTAAAATCGATGTCAGACTGTGCCCCAGCTGCCTGGAGAGATGAAAGAAGTGGTGCTGTGGTCACCCGAGGAGGTGACAAATTGGCTCACGGAAAATGCGGTGCCGGAATATTGTGAGCCATTGAAGACCTTCACCGGGCAGGATTTGATCAATCTCACGGAGGAGGATTTTAAGAAGACACCTCTCTCCCGCGTGTCTTCTGACAGCGGCCAGCGGCTATTGCACATGATTGAAACTTTAAAAATGGCTCACCACATCGAGGCTCACAAAAACGGGCACGTCAACGGGCACATCCGCGTCAGCGTCAGCAACACTGCACGCGAGAACGGCTTCAGCAGTAAAGTGAAGCTGAACGGGATGCCAAATGGGTATAAGAAGGAGATGATCAAGATCCCCATGCCAGAGCCGGAGCGCTCACAGTATCCTATGGAATGGGGCAAGACTTTCCTGGCTTTTATTTATGCACTTTCTTGTTTCATATTTACCACAGTGACTATCTCAGTCGTTCACGAACGAGTGCCTCCCAAGGAGGTGCAGCCTCCCCTACCAGATGCATTTTTTGATCACTTTGATCGAGTGCAATGGGCTTTTTCTATTTGTGAAATCAACGGCATGATCCTTGTAGGACTGTGGTTTGTTCAGTGGCTGCTCTTAAAATACAAGTAAGTAAAACCTTTTGAAAACCAAGTGCTAGCGTATACCTCTGATACCTTTTGGAGGTCAGATGCTGGTTTACATCCAAATAAAACTAAGCTTCTTGTGATCTTTCTGATTTTGGTTTCCCAAACTGAAATCGGTATTATAACATAGGCAAACTGCTGTTTGTGTGGGCTCTTTGTGCAAAAGGAAGAAGTTTAGTCCAACTGCTACCTAAAAAACTAAGAAATAGCCCTGGTCTTGTTTGCACAATTAACTGGAGCCCCTGTCATGTGTGAAAAGTCATGAGCCGGATGTAATGATGTTTTTAACTCAGTTAACTGTCCTCTCTGTTCAGAGGGAGCGCAGCTCATGCTGTTGTGGTCACAGCTGCGAACCAACTTGGGCTGGATTTAGTGTCTCTATCATTTCCTTGATGTAAAGACCTACCCTAAGTTTATAGTACCCTTGGGCAAAACCAATAGGCAGTGGTTTTGCACCTAAACAGCACTGCAGGAGAAAGTGTTGAAGTACATGACATTAGATGGGATAGGCAATGTCAAACACAAAGTATGTCAAAAGCTAATCATAAAATATGCAAAAGCACAGATATGCAATGAATTTGCAAGGTGTTAGTGGTTGTCTGCCTCTTTGCTCATACTGGTCAGAATTGCAAGGGTGAATTTCCCTGCCAGTAGAAGTGACCTACTGTTTACCCCCTACAAAATATGTGCAGGTGCTTAATTTTGGGTATTGCTGTAATCCACGCCTTGGGCTGCTTTACCACAAGGGTCTGATGTGTAAACCCTTGGGGCTGCCGTGGCTGTCAATGAAGTGTTCAAAGTCAAGTGGCTTTAAGCAGCATGAGGTGACATCTCACCTTGCCTTTCAAAAACCAGGCACAAGCATGTCCCTGTAGCTGCCCAGCCCAAATCTCATTCTTTACCTGTTCAATGACTCTTTTTTTGTGACCCCTATATAGGAAACTGAGGAAGGAATGTAATTTGGGCCCCACCATGTGAAATATGTGGCAAATGTTTAAGACTGAGACGACAGTTTATTCATCTTTTCTGCTACTTTATACTACTTAATGTATTTTATCAGGTGAAATTTTGAAATCGTTGTACGCTTTTACAGAGGTGGCGTTCCTTAAAGGAAAGTTTCTAGAATGGTTAATTTATTCTTATAGGACTGTAAAAAAACTGGAATTTCTTTTTTTTTTTTTTTTTT